ATTACACATAAAGACAAAATACCCATAATTTTATTGCTTATATTTACTTATATTTTATATAAGTAAGATGAGTATTATTATAGTAATATAATTAAGAGAAAAGGACAAGAAAATTGTAAATCTATTCCTGTAAAAAAATTTGCCAAAGAACCAATTAATCATTGGAACTTAATTTTCACGCGTAAAAAAATATTTTAATTGTTTCTAGATTTTTTGAGACTGAACGGCACAAAACATGTAATAACAAAGTAAAACATGAAAAAATTACTTCTATCCCAAAAAACATTATGTATATGTATGCATACCTTATCTCCATTTTTGTGTATGTACACGGCTTATCTCCATTTTTTGAAGATCTTATGTCATGATACTTCGCTTCGTTCGGTTTATATAAGAATTAAATAAATTTTTTCGTGTCGATAAGATAACAAGTCTGCAATTATCGACATCAAATAACTTATCAGCATAGTCAAATATATCTGTCGGTAATATCGCAGAGCTAATAGTAACCTATTTATTTAAAAATGAGCGCCAGTAACGCTGAGTTAACCAACACGTGTATGAGGAATCTTTCGTCGAAAATTTGTTCAAATATTGTAAGAACTAGGCTGAGAAGAAATGTCAGGCGCTGAGATTTGAACTGGGAGTGGGATCTCGAGTCATCTCGAGTCGTCCATATTACATAGCAAGCAACCGTCTCGCCGCGAAATCACATATCTCGATGACAGGAACTTAATTTATACCTTACAATATTAAGCAACATGTGTACACCAGCGAAGATTAGAAAATTAGACGAAGTCGTGGTGAATAGAATCGCAGCTGGAGAAATTATCCAAAGACCAGCAAATGCGTTAAAAGAATTAATAGAGAATAGGTTAGTTTTTTTTAAAAATTATCGTTTACTACATGCACATTCATAAAAATTTCACTTTTACGTTGTAGTTTGGACGCCAAAGCAACGAACATACAAATCATCGCGAAAGAAGGAGGTTTAAAGCTACTGCAGGTACATAATAGAATTTCAATTATTGAACATATTTAAATTAAATACATTTAAATTATACCTCTAAATCTTGATTTATAACTTCAGATACAGGATAATGGTACTGGTATCCAAAAAGAAGATATGGAGATTGTATGCGAGAGATTCACCACAAGTAAGCTACAAAAATTCGAAGATCTCAATGCTCTAACAACATTTGGATTTCGAGGAGAAGCTCTGGCCAGTATTAGTCACATAGCTCTTCTTGCTATCACGACAAAAACAGCAGATGAAAAATGTGCCTACAAGTATGCATATTTAATTAACAATGTAATACTTTCATATAGAGATAATATTTTTGTACAGAGAAAAAGAGATTAGTTAAGCTGTACTTGCTATACATTATTGCAGAGCATCATACATTAACAGCAAGCTAAAAGCACCTCCAGAGCCTTGTGCTGGAAATCAAGGCACTGTAATAACAATAGAAAATCTATTCTATAATGTGGCAACTCGTAGAAAGGCTTTGTCAAATATATCGGAGGAATTTACCAAAATTACAGAAGTAGTTACGAAATATGCTGTGCATAATCCAACAGTAGGATTTACATTAAAAAAGCATGGCGAGCCGAGTCCACAAGTAAGATGAATCGTTTTGTGTTCACACAGTACACGCATGATATAAAAAATATATTAAAAAATAATATTAGGTTGTTTGGAAAGTTCATTTCAATTTTCTAGCTCAAAATTATATATATAGCATCTCCGTAAAAAATGAATAAAATTTAAATTTAAAGAAAAGATTTTAAAGCTTGAAATCTCTACTTTCAAAAAGTTACTTATATTTTTTAAGTTTCTGTAAGTTTGGTAATTTTTACATGTAAAAAACTACAAGCTGAAAAAGATAAAAAATTTTCTTTTCACTTTGTGGGTATTCCAAGTGTTTGCAAAAATTTTTAACTAGCTATTGTGAAAGCAAGAAGCTTTCCTTACAAAATCGTTTTTTAAAATGTTTCTACGATTTTTTGTTCTTGAGTTATTTGGGAGTTAATTAAAAGGCGACAAATATATTGTAATTGTTTATAACTCCATTAAAAATTATCCGCAATTAAGAAATCAGATTCTCAAAGCTGAATTTTTATCGAATGGTATAACCGCTATAATATTTTAGATATACAATAAACTATTTTGAGCTAGAAAATTTGAAACAAACTTGCTACAACCTAACAGAATATTTGAAGACATGTATTGTTCATTTACACTTTTAGGTCCGAACGCCACATAATTCCACTAAACAGAGTAATATAAGGATATTATATGGTAATCCTATTGCTCGTGAGCTATTAGAAGTTGAGCTTGATGACAAGGATTATAAATTTAAGCTGCACGGTTTAGTAACAAATCCAAATTATACGAATAAGCGAATGGTGATGTTGCTATTTATCAATAATCGATTGGTCGATTCTACTTGTAAGTCTAACGTGCTAATCAATTTTTATCTATTCTAATTTCTTTGTCAAAGTTTTAATGTTTAAGGACATTTATTTGCAGCAATCCGTAGGATGTTAGAAGACTTGTACTCTGTATATCTCCCGAAAAAAACTCATCCATGGTGTTATATATCTTTGGATATTAATCCACAGAATATTGATGTTAATATACATCCGACAAAACATGAAGTTCGATTCCTTCACGAAGATGCGATAATCGAAAGAATAAAACACGCGTTAGACGAAAGACTGGCTGGCAACAGCGCGTCTAGAACGTTTTACTTACAAGCCAGATTACCGAAAGCAGATATTACTAAAGAAGTTCTAGAGGAGGTATTACCAGAGTATAACAAAGGAAATTCGGATAAATTAAAAAAGATTCACGCTAAGGAGATGATCAGAACAGATTCGTCTGATCAAAAACTTGACAAATTTAATTTTACCATACATTTCGAACAACACAAGAGTGACAGTAATACTTTAACGAAAGAATTACCACATAATGATCCTAAATCTCTTAATTCTGAAATTATAGGAGAAAACGTACCTGATGTTATTATGGAAGATCCACCTGCTGACGATAAATGTCAAGAGAAAAATTCGAATTTGACTATCGCAGAACACAATTCTACATTATTACATATCGAAGAAACTTCGTCTAATAATAGTTCAACAAATTGGAGTAATATATTAGATACCAAAACTTCGTCAGACTCGCAAAACATTTGCAATTCATACAACTCTGCACAAGACAAATTAAAAAATGTCTGTCCAGAGAACACCACATTTAATATTTCAGAATTTCTACGAGATTCAGATGAGGAAGATGATCCTAACGAAGATAAGCCTGTAGATGTTATAGCTGATAGGGCCCGTAAGCAAGTGTATCAGTATTTTGGAAATAGAGACGTTATCGAGAATGCAAAAAAAAGTTCAGAAGGAGAAAAAGAACGGACATTGAATACAGACGATGATCAGAAAGGAGGTGAAAGTTCAATATTAAACGTAAATCAAACCGAAACACTATCCGCTGAGGCAAGTACTTCTGCTGATGAATCTCCGAAGGTTACAGAGCAATTCAAATCATATTCTGTCAATAATTTTAAACACGAAGTTAAATTAACCAGTATTCTGAAATTACGTAAGGATGTTGAAGATGAATGTCACGAAGGATTACGAGACATTTTAGCTAATTTAACATTTGTTGGCTGCATCGACCAAACTTCGGCTTTGATACAGAGTGGAGTAAATTTATATATATGCAATACTAGAAAATTAGCGTAAGATAATTGCTTTACGTAATGTAAAAATATAATATAAATTTATTCATATCTTTAAGTGTAATATTTTTTTAGGGAGGAGCTTTTTTACGAAATCATGCTTTATGATTTTGCAAATTATGGTATCATCAAATTCTCAGTACGTATTTCAGGTACAGCAAATCAAGTTTATTTTATAGACATCTAACATTGTACATGTGAATTTATTTTTTAGGAACGAATATCATTGTTTGATTTAGCAATGATTGCTTTAGATTCGGGGGAAACTGGATGGACAAAAGAGGACGGACCAAAGGAAGAATTGGCGGCAAGAGTGAAAGAGTTACTTTTAGAAAAGGCAGACATGATGAATGAATATTTTTCGATTGTTATGGATAAAGTAGGAAATTTAAGATCGTTGCCTGTATTATTAGGTAAATATAACGTAATATCAAATACCATTATATTTCCAAAAGAATAAATTACATGCCAATATTTTAGATAAATATTTTCCATACGAAGCGGAAATTCCATTGTATATAATGCGACTAGCAACGGAAGTTAACTGGAGAAAAGAACAATTATGCTTTCAAAATATTTGTCGGGAAACAGCAAAGTTTTACAGCTACATCAATCCGAAGCATCAGACACATGACTGGAAATATGTAACTGAACATGTTTTGTATCCGGCAATTAAAGAAAGTTTACTTCCACCGAAACACTTTGCTCATGATTCAACAATATTACAGATAGCTAGTTTACCAGACTTGTACAAAGTATTCGAGAGATGTTAAATCATGAATATATAAAATTGTATTATACTCTTTTTCTTATATGAATTGAATTCATAAACCCAAATCTTATAGCAAGTGTTCAATATTATTTATTAAGTATTTAACGTTAGATTTATATAGTTATGATCTATCATATTCTTATGACTTTTTTAATTTATTCTTATACTTTTTTTATTTAAAATATTTTTTATTCATTATACTTTTTTTTATTTAAAATATGTTACACACTGAAGATGACTGGAATATACATCATTTTTTCCGGGATTAAATTGCATACATGTAGTGGAAAACAATGTATATATTTTAAAAAAGAATTTCTATATATAAATCTATATATAATAACGCTACGAATGTTTTTACATAAAAGTAGCGTGTGTATATATATATTTTTTTTTTTGCCAATTTTACACTTTACGTTATATCAACAGATTGGTTCCTATTTTATATTTTAAATAAAAATTTAAAAGGAAATTATAACGTACATAATATTTTATATAAACTTTATATTTAACAATTTATCATAAAATAGGTGTTCTACCTCTTTTTACAACAGTTATCCTTTAGCAACACCTACTAATGCCGGTCTCACTATTCTTTCGTGCAATTTGTATCCTACTTTCGATACAACTACAATTGTGCCAGGGTCCTTGCCCTCAACTTCCTGAAAATGATATTCATTATTCACAAAAGTTACCATTTTATATCCATTATATGAATCTTACTTGTTGAAATAATGCTTCGTGTTCATTAGGATCGAATTTTTCATTTACTGGATTCAGTGAAATTAGACCGTGTTTCTTGAAAACCTACATTAAGGAAAAAAAGAAAAAATTAATATCCTCATTTGAAACCACATTATTTATGTGAAGGGCTGAGCATGTATTTCAAATACTTTTAGTAGAAAAACAATATTTGTAAGACAATTTGTATCATATTTCAGTATTAACAACGAAACATTGAAAGTATTTTGTATTTCAAATATGATTGACAATTAATCTTACTAGTTAAATTACAAAATACATAAAACTTTTAATCTTTAACAAAATACGTAATACTTTCATATATGCAGCGTTAAAATATAAAATACACTTGTAATGCTAGAACTATGTTTTAAATAAAAATATTTCAAATACCTAGCCCTGTTTATATGCATGGTTCTCATATTAAAATAAATACATATCTTACTTTATGTAACTGAGCTTCTGTCATAACTAAGCCTTCATATAAACTTTTTAAATGTGGATTTTGCTCTGTTATCTCATCCTTTGGTACACTTTCAGTAGCTTTTCCTAATATGTCAGCTACATCCAAAAGATCCTTACAGAAGCCTTGAATACCAAAAACCTTGGCATCATTAATCTGCTTGGTGAGCCTAACTCTGATATTTTCTCCTTCTGCTAATGCTCTCTTATATTTATCTTCCAATGTGTCTTTAGACTCCTTGAGTTCAGAAATTTCTTTGTTGATAAGTTCGAGTTCAGTTTTAAGTTTCTTTTCATTCTCTGTAGCTTCTAATATAGGAGGTGCATCTGATTTCTTCTCTTCTGTTATTGTGCCAAAGTATTGTCTTTGCCAGGAAAATGCAGAAGATACTTGTGGCAATCTGAAATTTTATAATATTTATATAAATTTAGACTATTGAAGAATCAGAGTTAAAATATTATTAACAAAAGATTTTCAAGAAATCTTATTTCATTGTTTTCAAAGTGAAAGTGTGAGTATAATATATGAGGTGTCCAGAAATTCGAGAACAATATTATTACTTAATTTGTCACAAAGTTTCATTAAAATAATATTATCTTTAAATTTTAGGAGAGAGAGAGAGAAAAAAAGACATTCTGTATATACAAATATACTACAAATAAAAAAAATGTATCTGTTACAAAACATAACACATATAATTTGTTACAATCACATAACATCTTTAAGTTATTCACTAATATTCTTATAAATGCAAAAAAAACAATCAATATTGTCTATATATACAAAATACAAAAATATAAAAAATAATAGTTTAGTGTGATTTGTTAGATTATAAAAATTTAAAGATTTTGAATTCATACTTTTACGTATAGAACTATGGATAAAATTATTTATACTAGTAATCGTTTTGTTTCATGAGAAAATTAAATAGCGATTATTCTTTAATGTTAATTAATGAGAATTATGCTCCAGAATAGGGAACAAAACAGAATAGGTAGTGTACGGTTAACCTCAATGAACCGAAAAGAAATGTGACTCAGCAACGAGTATTCGATCGCGACTCGCCAGTGAAAAAAAAGACAATTTACCTGCGCAAGCCACTCAGTGATGCGATTTTCAACACGCTTGCAGCGCTCGACGGTAGCGCCATCTGTCGGCGGCCTGGCGCAACTGGTAGCACACACAAGCGAAGCTCTTCTTCTTCCTTAGCCTCCAAGCAATGAAATAGGAGGTCGGTATGGCCAGGTCACGTCTTTAAAGTAAACCGTACAAAAATATGAAAACAAACGGATGATGCAATGTCCGCGAAAATGGCGTCGCTCGACCGGTTTCCGGACGCCTGCGTCTACGGTGTCGTCACGTCGCAATAACGCGCGTTATAAGAGCCCTAGTCGTCGAAAAGTGCAAAATGACGAACAATCGAGACGAGCTCATTCGCAGACACGCATCTGTGTGACGAAATGCACAGTCAAAGTCGGCAACACTTTCAAAAATATACAATGGAAAGCACCCGAATCGAAACACGCCCGTCACGATCGAATGGTTCGTCGGAACTCGTAAGCAGTGATGCGATTTCCAATTCCAAAAATTCCAACCCGCTTGCAGCACTCGATGGTACCGCCATCGGTCGGCGGCCTGGCGCAACCGGTAGTCACACAACCAAAGCTCGTGTACGTGTGACTTTGTAGCAGGGTCTTTGTCTCTCTAATCGTTCCTCCTTGTTCGCCTTCGGCGCGCTGAGAGCGAACGAGACAGCGAGAGAGAATATATATATATATATATATCTATTTTTTTATATACACATACACATATATATTATATATATATATATATGTGTAATTTTACAATAATTTTTTATTTGCTTATTAAAAAGCGAATCAGTTTCTTCCTATATACAGTCATATACATATATGAATATACACATAACAGAAGTTAATTTTTAATAAATGTAGTAATGCATATATTACTAGAGATTACTCGCGTGTAGTTTCCAAGCAATAACTGTAGGAAGAAACCGATTCGCTTTTTAATAAGCAAATAAAAAATATACGTTTCTCTTACGATGGATTAGAGAATCGGGGCCCTGATTCTGAAGAACCGGAGTGGAGTAGAGAATGATGAAATCGGATGAAATGTAGCAATCAGAGACAACACAAACAATCACGATCGTAGAATGTTGGGAAATGTAAAGATGTCGCGAGTGTCGCAACTTACTTCACGATCAAAATCGTTTGGCTAAACCCGTTTCAAAATGCCTACAGATTAATATTTATTTGTAGGCTGGTATTTTATTACATAATTCGATTTTAATATCAGATTAAAAAAAAAAACCTTAAATATATAAATAAGATCAATATCCATTTCCATCAATGTAGATTAACTTTAATCTCGATTTAACTTCCTACGCTGTCTATCTTTTTCTAATTCTAAGAATGTTTAGAATTAAAAAAAAGATTTAATAAATTAAGCTCAAATCAAAATTAATCTTACATCTGTGAAATCGGGCCTAATAGAATTATGAAGATTGTGTCGCAAGATTTGGCGGGAAGAAACGCGAGTGACAAGTTTTTGAGCGGCGAGCAAATCGACCAATCACAGTCGCGAGTTCACGATTGTCCGAAGCCGATCGGTACACGATTCTACAATGACACCTGTTCCTTTGCAGCTGCACTTCTATGCACCGTTTATTTCTCCTCCTTTTCTCCCTACGCCGGAGGGAACGAGAGGGCAAAGGAGGGAAAATGAACCGTGCAAATCATACGTGCGTACGAGAAATTGATCCGAGAATAGAACAGACCTGTACGATTCTACTGGGAGAATAGAGAGAATGTAGAGTCCCTCTCGATGCGACGTCGACGTGCGTCGACGGCCGTCTACGTACCGCGCGCTCGAGGGCGTACGCCCGCGGTGTTGCAGTTGTTGCCACTGCATAGTCCGCGTCCGCGCTAGTCCGCGCCCGTATGCCCGTTGGTTTACGTCGTATTGGGGATCGAGGTATAGCCCCTCGTAATAGCCCTGTATCAAGCGGAAGCCCGCGACGCAGCGCGACCCGTAACGCGTTGTCGATATACCTGTCCGGTCCGAGCGCGCGCAGGCGACTTCCGCTTCGCGAGGCGTCGAGAGCGTCGCTTTCAGGGGACACTCCGCGTTCGCGCGCGCGTCTTTCCAGCGCTCTAGCAGCGAGACCGAGCGCGAAACCTGCGTGTACGGCGGCGGAGCAGCGGCCGCGTCGACCCGACCAGCCGCGACGAGGCGCGTTGGCGATTATGTGTT